AGTGGGGGATGAAGCGCAGAATGTATGGCTTATGTTTTGCTCTGGGTCATAAATATATTGGTAAGAATGGGTGAAATAGGATTGCCCATACTTAAACCATCTACTTGAAGGAAATGTTCATTGTTGAAAATGAAGTTGGTTTTAGTTGTTGTAAATTCTAAGAGGGAAGCAAAAAGTGCTGGGGATGTGGATTAACTTGTTGGGGTCATTAATATAGAGGTCAAGTGCAATACTGCAAGCTTCATTGGCAGGGACTTTGGTGAAGAGTGACACAACAGCAAAACTAGCCATTAAGACTTTTGAATTTAGTTGGTGTAGTGTATATTTGAAATTCAAGACATCTTTAAAAAAAGGAACCTGCCCGGGCTCTCACACCATATGTAACATCTGCATGTAAAAAAAGGAACCTGCATAAATGAAGAAATCAACCACATAAAGCATTCCTTTATTCATACTAATAAATTTCCACCAGCTATTGTTGAAAAACTCTAACAACAAAACTCAACCTATGAACAAAATTGATACAAACAAACCCAACAACAGAACATTACACTGCAGTTTACCTTTTGTCCCTGAAACCAGCTCAAGAATTATCCACACTTGGAGAAAACTAGCCATTAAACACAATATTCCTGACAATGTCAAATTCTCTCAAAAACCTGGCCCTAAATTAAAATCGTTACTAAACAAAAATTATTTAGAATCACACAATACCAATGTCATTTACAAAATAACATGCAATAACTGCCCAGAATTCTACATCGGAGAAACAGGAAGAAAATTGGAAACCAGATTCAAAGAACACAATAAAAAATATCCCATGTTTTCCACCATTGCAACTCAAAAAAACCATAGTATATCTATTAAAAACACAGTAATTTTAAACAAAGAACCAAACAACCCTACCCTAAACCAACACCTTGGGGTGCCAAGATATCTCTTTTAAGTCATGCAACAGTATTTGGTCATGTGACCTCTTTGTTCCATACTGTATATATATATCCGTGTCAGTGTAAACTACTTGTACCTGATGATGACAGGTACATATGCCGTTATGTTAAACTTATATTAAAGTTTTTCTTCATTACCCATTCAAGCCATCTCCAAGCATTATTAGTACTTGTATATTTTTTATTATAAATTCTCTGTAAAATTGCTTCCTCAAAAGCGATCTCTGAAGTCACAAAACTGGTAAAAGAAGGAAAAAAAAAAGTACTGATATTCCAGTTTTCTTTTATAAATATATATATATATATACATGTATGTATGTGTATATATAGAAAGCGAGAGAAAGGACTAATGTTAGTACCAAATACTGTTAACAGTAATACTGATACCAAATCATAATGGGTTTGGGTTTTATGTATCGACTTACAACAGACTGTAGTTTTTAAGTTTTGTTTTAAAGAATTAGTTTTTATCTATTTTTTATAATTACTTCTGAAATTTCGTTTTGTTCTCATCTATATAATTTTCTTATGTTCTGATCAGAAAATTGAGTAACAATTAATAACTATTTGAAAAGTATTTACAATGTTTTATTTCACTATTATAAATTATTTATTCACCATTTAAATTCTATTTTTTATAACTGAGTAAAATAAACAATTATACATTTCCAAAAAATTAAATAATCCATAATTCAAAGTTCTATTAATCTTGCAGTATCATAATAGTTCAGAACAAAACTAAAATGCTCAATAACACATAAATCAATACTACTAATAACTTAAGTAGCCCTTAGAACTTACACCCGCTTAGTGCCTTAACTAAAGCATGATTTAGTTTGATTCTTATTATTAAGACTCAAGAAACTACCGCTAAATTTGTACTAAAATTATTCGTATAGACATGTACTATATATCAAGCAATGTCATACGATGTATAGAGATACTAAATAGATCGTGGTTTAGAATATTAACCCAACGTGAGTGATTAACCCGGTAACCGTACGACTAAGCATCGTAGTGTCTTTTCAATTTTGTTTGACTGTTGTTCCGAGCTAAAGGCTAAAGTTTAAAAGTTAAATACATCATATGAAAACTCGCGCCCTGTGTTTAAGATTTTAAATAAATTATAGAAAATATGATTACTGAGTTACTACAGATATTAAAGCTAATATAATAATTTTAATTAGTACTAAAGTAAAATGATTAGTAACATAAATACTAATAGTAAAATAGGACTAGCAGTAGTACTAGGGTTAGAGTTGAATTCATTATTGTAATTTGTAGTCGAGTACCATATGCACAAACGAATCATATTAATTTTGTAAAATATATGTTTTAATATTGATAAATAGTAGTTTTACTTTTAGATACGTCTTGTTAAATATAATCTGACTTACTTCCCATTTCTATAGAAGTTTTTATCGATTTTAAATATAATCTTTCGCTACCATAAACCAGCAGCAACTAGTCTCAAATCCGACAACGTGACAAAAGGAAATAACGTCAGCAATCAAACCGAATTTCCGCTTAACTGATATTCCATTTAATCGCTAGGTGTTAAATTTTTTTATAAACTTAGCCAAAAAATGAAAAAAAAAAAGGAGAAAAAGAAAAGATAAACAAAAGCTATTATATGTTTATTTGGAACATGCATCATAGCTAGAGTAACTTATAGACTGGTTAAATTGAGCGTGTTTCGGAAAATGTTAATAAAAATTGATAGGGAAGTTAAAACCAAGAGGAGATGATTTTGAGCATAACAAGCTAAATAATAGTGTTATAGATAAGTTTCACGCATTTAAAAACAAACATAACAGATTGAAGAAAAAAACTCACTTGCTATTACTGTAGTGACAGAAATATTAAGGGGGAAAATGAATAAATTCAGGGCAAAATTTGAAATAGAATACTACGAAATAATGGGAATTATTAAAACTTGGTTAGATATGGCGAACATTGATAATAGGAATTATTTACAAATTCCAGGTTTTAAGTTATCTAATAATAATAGGCTTTTTAAAAAGATGAGGTGGAGTGACTTTCTATAGAAGAGATGAAATGCAACCTATTGGAACTGAAGACATAAAAAAGGATAGTGAAGAGATTAAATCTACAATTGAATCAGAGTTTCCAAATGTTTGTTATGGATTTCGCGTAAAGCTACACAAGCGCTAGCCGTCCCTACTTTAGCAGTGTAAGACTAGAGGGAAGTCTGGGCTATTCTTTTACCAACGAATAGTGGGATTGACCGTTACATTATACCGCCCCCACAGCTGAAAGGGCGAGCATGTTTGGTGTGATGGGGATTCGAACCCGTGACCAACAAATTGCGAGTCAAGCGCCCTAACCACCTGGCCATGCCCGGCCTATTTTTAAATGCAGAAAGTTTTTAATTGGCAATTGTTATAGGCCACTTGATCACAGAAAATGAGAAAGTTATATAATAATGCAAAACTTATGGAATATTTTAATTTCAAAAACACTGATTGGGATTTTATGGAGTCAAACAGTGAGGAAGAGAGGTCTCTTGAAATTATTCAAAATGGTTTTCTACATCAAATATTCAGAGAACTAACAAGAAGTGTGCCATTTTGAATTTATTGTTAACCACTAATGATGATGTTAAAGTGAGAGAACATTCGAGAAAGAGCGATTATTAATATTCAAATAGGGTCCTTTGTTAGATGCTGATGTAAAAAAAAATTAAATTTTAGTTCATAATTTTTAGAAAGCCAACCTTTAAGCCATGGTACAAAATTTATTACTTGGGATAATTAATTAATACGTGATGTTGTATTAAATTGGGAAGTTCTTTAAAACAAATTGTTTTTAAGTCAAGATTGACATAATCGATTTATTAAGGACATTATGTAGAAAATCATGAATAAATGCCATAAGTTTGAGATGTTAAATTTGACAGATAAAATGAGAGAGTTGCAACACTATAGGTTGCTTGTTTGTAGTTAAGTACAAAACTACACAATGGGCTAATCTTGCTGTGCCAACCACGAGTATTGAAACCCGGTTTTCAGCGCTATAAATCCGTAGACTGGCAAACAAAAGACTATAGGAAACGTGGGGATTTGGTTTAAAGATGAATTAGAAAATGAGAAAAGGTGTCATGTTAAATCAAGATGAAGGGGTTATTTTAAGTGTGCTTTAAGTAGTAGAATATGAAAACAGAGATGGGCTCGTAAGGTTGGTGATTACAGGGTTTTTGTTGAACACTATGAGGAGATAAAGGTCTCAATATCACAGTTTCAGTAGGTCAATATACATTAAGCATGGGCTCAGCAATGGAGTCGCTAATGATATGCCTATTTTTAATGGAGGTGATGATAATTATTCTGGACATTTTAGACCAGTTAGTCTTACTTCTTTATTTATTTCACATGGATTCCAAGGCCATTATGTTGACCTTAGTGGCATTAGTATTCATAGTGTTGAATGCTGTATGAACGTTGCCCTATCTTTTTTTTTTCCAAGATGTTGATTGACTCTTCTGGTTTCTGAAAACTTCCAGCCAGATTTAAACTCTGGTAAGGTCTTCTTGGGTCTTGGTAATATTGGTAAAAATTGGCTTCACTGAAGGTGGGTACACATTTGGCACCAATGATGTTTAATAACCATGTAGCCTTCGATGGGGTACTTCACAGCTTTAAGTTGACGTCTCAAGACCTTTGTCAGCTCCCTTCTCACTAGTGTCAGTGTAACCTCGGATGTGGGGATGTGAGTGTGTTATGGGAAGACTAGACAACACAGCATTTCCAATGTTGTGGTCATGGTAGTCACCTTTCCTGACGGTTTTGTGGTAGAAGTTTGGTCAGCAGTCAGCCGTGGTGGTAGTGGTATATAAATATACTTTAGTTCCAACCCATTCGTGGCTTTGCCCAGAGCCTCAACCTCCAACAAATCAGCTAGTATTTATCCTCATCTGTTGGCTATTATTTTGCTAGAATAAATATAGGATTGGCACCCGAAGTCTCGGGGATGTCAGTGACAGTTCGATGTTTTAAAATAATTATCTTCTTCCATAGTGAAAGGTAAAGTATAGGTGGTTGGAAACATGATGCAAGAACAACTGGCTAGTTGTGTGGACCAATTAGAATTTTAACATTGTTTAATTTATGTATTGTTAACAAAATTGAGCTGAGTATTGCATAGTGGTTAGTGTGCTCAGGCTGTGAAACCAAAGGCTATTCTTTCATTGCCTGTTGCCACAAAAACTATCTCCATACTCTGGGGAGTGCTATAACAGTGACAGTCAAATCATATTACTCCTTCAGACAAGAGAAATTTAAGAATTAATGGTGGGTGCTTTTTACTTGTTGCTAATAGTTCAAATTTATAAGGTATGGGTATGCACAGATAGTCCTCTATATATTTTTGCACGATAATTCTGAAATATACAAACAAATTCACAGTGATGTTTTGGATAGACTAACATAACTGCAAGTTTTGACACTATTTATACCTAAATATTTCGTTCAAAGATATTATATACCTTACAACTGATGTATTGTTCAAGTATTTTGAATCTCTCTAAAGTATTCCTAAACATGAATAGCTCAAAATTTGGTGGGTGCTCTTGACTATCTGCTTTAAAAACAAAAACAGACCCGGGTCCAACAAGAAAGAAATGGGTGGTGAAATTGCAAACACAAATAATAAAAAAGGCCAGCCACTGCACTGATGCTATCCTCTGCTTTCTGACCACGAAAATCTATTAACACTAACATCTCATTTTTCATAATTAAAGCTACTATTTGGGAATTTTACCATCTACACAGCATTTTGCCAACTCATGAACTTTTTAATTCTTCCCAGTCAAAATATTACTAGTGAAAATAACATGAACTAAGTTTCTTCTAATTGTAGTGTAAGCTCAGCTGTTACTTTGATCTTTTATAGGAAAATACACTACTTGCCAATTATTTTAATGCCAAAAATAAAACATTCATTCAACAGCAGTGAATAACATATCAGGGGCATTTTGAAATATTGCTTTACAGGACAATATTATTATCAGCTTCATGCCTCAGTGTCTTAACATTCAGACCCAATCCTATTTTTTCATTCATCTGTTGTATGAAAGTTGTGTTATTTGTGTAACTGATTCAATTGTGTTATACAACACTCATGAAGAACTTTATGTAATGTCTATGCAAATGTGCAACGCCATACATATATATATTTATTAATACACACATCTCAATATTACACACGATTTTTCACACGCACACACTATTATCAGAGTAATCTAAACAGGCCATCTCTGCTTGCTATGTCTCAATAGCACGATGCTAAAACATGCTGCTATACATGAGCTGTTAAACTAAACTCGTTTTCCTGGCATCACAGAATAATTAATCATCAGCAGTATTCAGCAAAAGTAAGACTTTTCAACGAAAGCTCTTGTATATATATCAATACACACTCAGACAAAGTTAGGTTAAATACAACAGCCTACATCAAAAATGATTTTCTGTCCTATATGGCCGCTAACACCAGTAGTAAAACTAACAAAATTTTGTTCTACTATTAACGAGTCGATCCACTCACTTTAGTCGGCATTACAGGAACATAAATACAGGCAAATCCATTAAAACTTCGCCTAGATCCATAACAATCTATTTTCATTGTGTGCTATAAAGAATACGACTCCCTTTCTACACATGGAGAAGTTTTATACAGTTCAAGTGTACTGTCGATGAGTCCAGTGAGCTTTGTATGACAGAATTTCTGCTACAAATTGGCTAGAAAGCTAAGCAATTTTTCAGAACTTAAAAGTGGCAATCAGGACCATAGCAAGTCTTCAATAGGCTTGGGCTCAGAAAATGATTGTGAGTTCTCTTTTAAATATAATATAAAACAATGAAAAAAGAAATGGAAGGTGAATATTTTTACACTGTTCACGAGTGATTTTCTAAAGCGCATTGTATGATTTTAGTGCATTTTAATAAAAAAAGAAGATTCCTTGCTTTTTGCTCCGATTGGAAATACTGTAAGTGTTTCATCAAACTATCGGCTTTGTTATGTTCCCTAGGATTATTACTCAAGAGAATGATATTTGACAGGTATTTCATGATATCAGTATACCTATAATGCACATTTGAATCGTGAGGACCATCTTGTAAGACAGAGGTTTTCATTGTTATAGTAGACCCACCAATGTTTGATAACATTGCCCATCTTCTTGTGCTTTGTCCGAAAACAACATACAGTTATCAACAAATTCCTGATCAAGTCAGTGCATAAGAGGTTCTTGTGTAATGTACAAATGTAGCTTAATGATGTGCTTCATGCACTGTTGCATAACTCATATCTGTGCTGTAACTAAACTGTTTTTTGTGCTTCTGACATGTACCACATCCAGACTTAGTCTTCACACTGGAACTTCCATTCCTTTACTGTTATATCATATCATTTTTTACTGACGTTGGATGGTCTTCCAGAGTTGTTGATGGATTTCCTGCCCAAACATGAGATTATTTTGTGAACAGCTTGT